TTCAAAACAAAACAAACATCGAGAAGTTTAATCTCTTATGAAGGATAAGAATATAAATATACCAATATTATTTAAAAAGATAAATAAACACATTGAAAATTTAAGAAAGTTAACTTTATTAATTGTTACGGTTGTTTTGTAGATGGATGAACGAACACATTGAAAGAACGATAAGAGTTCGTAAGTGTTTCATTGTTTAGTTTATTAATATGAACATTTAAAAAAAATAAATACGTATAAACAACTTGATATTCCAGATGAGTCAGCGATAAGTTTGCGAACTTAAAACGCAAAATACGAGGTGGGCTGAGAACAGGTTGCCCATTGTGTAACTTTTGTGATAAAAAAACTAAAAAAGACAATTATATTTTAGCAAATGAAAGTGGCTAAAGCTAGTACATTTGTACACCGTTCTAATGGTGTACAAACGTTAGTTTTTCTGTTTGCTTTTCTTCAGTACATCCTGAGATGAACATATATAGTTTTCAGTTTTGATACTCAGCTCTCATGCTAATAAAACAGATACGATACTTAAATACGCGAACTACAAAACATTTTGAAAATATCCACGTTTTTTTTGTTTAGACTTGTATTATTATGAATTGCCTTGGAACTACTGTATTTGACTTCTAGAGAATAAGTTTTTAAATTTTTAGTTAGGAAAATCATAAGAATATAATTATTCTGGACACACTGCCATCTTTCGTCAGGTTTTGTTTCAATGAGTCAATGTTTTGCTAAAAGTTATCAGCTGCTTGTTTACTTTCTATTTACACCTATTTATCATCTTTCGATGACCTGGCCATCAATCTATTATCATATATTTTAACTCACCAATATTAACATGTTTAACTTCCACTCAGAGCAAGCTACCTTCTTAGATCGAAACGAAAATTCAACCTAGTACTGGTAATGATCATAACTAATTACTTCTATTTTTCTCACGTTATTATTTACAAATATTGTAATGTACTGAAGTGTGACGTCATCCAACAGTGTAATAGTATTCAATGATCTATATTAGTTTGACTGTTATTTGTATCAACTGAACCTTGACTCGTTGTTGTACATAGCTTCATCGTATTTGTCAATAACAGCAATTAACAGAAGCTAACCCTTTCTGTCTCGAATGTTTTAGTGCATTCACTATTCTTTTTCAGGAGAACACCCTTTGTTCTCCTGAAGAAGAATAGTCAACTATTCGAAAGCGTTCGAGTTTTGGGTCTTATTTTAAGTTTATTACACTTTATATGTGATCCTTTGTGCTAACCCTTTTATCAAGGTTAGTGCATTCACTAATATGCAAAACTTTTAATTTATTTCACAGTTACGTTTCATCCATTAACTACTATATACATCTAAGACTCATAACATGATAGAGGAGCTATTCTGTTAGATATGTTTAAATATATATTTTCCATATTCACTTCCAGGTTCATGCAAAAAATTATCTGTTTAGGTCAGCTAGAAACAGATAAGTCCAGTGAAACCCATATTTCTTTGTATCCAGCTTGTTTCGTGTCGTTTAATCCATAGATTATCACAGGTGCCCAGATAGGGTATTCGTCATTATGTGTGAGTAATGTTGATGTCATTTAAAAATAATCTGATTAGGTAGGTGAATGTAATAGTTATTCCAGATAAGTCTTTTGAAATATTTTATGGAATAATTCATTTTTGAAATTCTAAAGGAGATAAGCCACCATTTCTTATCCTATCTTTCTTCTGCTTTGTATGACTAACAATTCAAGTTTATCTTGCGACTCAAACGGCAGTAAAAGATACTATCTTCTCGCTTTCAACAGTTCTCAAGTGAGCGAAATCCTCTATCGACTGACAAGTAAGGTTTAATAAACAACAGAGAACGGTCGTTTTAAACTGGGCAAATATTTTACTATACACGAGATGGAAGTCAGTTCGGTTTGTCGGAATACCTGAATTTGTTTGTAATGTAACTGTGTGTAATATAACCCCTTAAGTTATGAAACACCATTGTTGGGTAAAGTAATGCTCCTGTGTGTACCTTGCCTTATTTTGTTACTACTTAACTTACGAAATACGATTATTGGGAAACGTAATGTTACTGCGTGTGTATTTTACTTTATCTTGTAACCCCTTAAGTTATGAAACATGATTGTTGGGTAACGTAATGTTACTGTGTATACCTTACTTTATCTTGTAACCCCTTAAGTTATGAAACATGATTGTTGGGTAACGTAATGTTACTGTGTATACCTTACTTTATCTTGTAACCCCTTAAGTTATGAAACATGATTGTTGGGTAACGTAATGTTACTGTGTATACCTTACTTTATCTTGTAACCCCTTAAGTTATGAAACATGATTGTTTGGTAACGTAATGTTACTGTGTATACCTTGCCTTATTTTGTTACTACTTAACTTACGAAATACGATTATTGGGAAACGTAATGTTACTGCGTGTGTATTTTACTTTATCTTGTAACCCCTTAAGTTATGAAACATGATTGTTGGGTGACGTAATGTTACTTTGTGTACCTTACTTTATCTTGTAACCCCTTAAGTTAAGAAACATGATTGTTGGGTAACGTAATGTTACTTTATGTACCTTACTTTATCTTGTAACCCCTTAAGTTACGAAATACCTTATCTAGAGATTACTTAAGTTATGAAACCCTATTGTTGGGAAAATGTTTATGTTTTCCTCTTTTAACCATGTTTATGCTTATATGTCTTCAACCAAAGTTTCAAGTTAATTTAAAGTAAAGTTGAACTACTTTGATCCAAAACAGAGCATAAACATGGAACAGCTTTCCTTGTTCCGATTTTTCAGTAAATTATGCTTTAATTCAGAAATTATTCGTGTTGTTTTAATTTCAAAATTATAGTGCACTGTTTTCCATCGGAGAATGTTCTTCTGAATGTAATACAAGTATCATATAAAACTGACATTCAGCTTAAAGATAAAATTTTGATACAGTTATATTTTTTGTAATTATTAGTATTATAAATGACAAGGACAAGCGTTTCTTAGTGGATAGCGTGAAGAAATATGAATCGGAAGGTCCAAGGTTCGAGCTCGTGATGTGCCGTTCAACATGCTACGCAGTTTAATCTGTGGACTCGTTAAAAGTAGAATAAAATCCACATATTTGGTTAAGAGTAATCTAGGCAGCAGATATATATGTATATGTTAATTAAACTTAACATCAAAAGTCCTCCCTGAGTGATGTAAGACACAGGCTATTAAATGATCTGGGGCTATCTAGATCAGTATAATAGACAGTGTCAGTTCTACCTGGGAGATGTAAGACACAGGTTGTTAACTGATCTAGGGCTGTGTAGATCAGTATAATAGACAGTGTCAGTTCTACCTGGGAGATGTAAGACACAGGTTGTTAACTGATCTAGGGCTATCTAGATCAGTATAGTAGACAGTGTCAGTTCTACCTGGGAGATGTAAGACACAGGTTGTTAACTGATCTAGGGCTATCTAGATCATTATAATAGGCAGTGTGAATTGAGGGGTTTGTTTCTCATTAACATTGGACTATTTAAATTTCTAACAACAGATTGAAAGGAACAATAAGGTTCGACAAAATTAGGTAAGAAAACGCTAAGCAAACCCGAAGTAACTTCTTTTTTTTGTGAG